TCTGACTGAAAAGGAGACATGAAAATGGAATACATTAGAAGCAAATATCATTCATTCATTCATGTACTTTTTCATTCATTCATTCAATGAACACTAATTGAGGGACGATAGTAAGTGCTGAGGATGCAGTGACACAAAGTGTCACCCACAGGAATTGTGGCGATAAGCTAGCCTCCATCTTCAATTAGGGAAAAAGTGACACCAATGGGGCTATCCATGCAGCAGGAAGACTAGCAAAATACTAAAGTGGGTTTTCTTGGGTTTTTTTTTAGAGATGGAGTCTTGCTCTGTTGCCCAGGCTGAAGTGCGGTGGTGCAATTTGACTCACTGCAACCTCCACCTCCAGGGTTGAAGCGATTCTCCTGCCTCAGCCTCCCGAGTAGCTGGGACTACAGGTGCACACCATCATGCCCAGCTAATTTTTGTGTATTTGGTAGAGACAGGGTTTCACCACGTTGTCCAGGATGGCCTCTATCTTCTGGCCTCGTGATCTGCCCACCTCGGCCTCCCAACGTACTGAGATTACAGGCCTGAGCCACCACGCCCCGCCCAAAGTAGGTGTTCCAGGGACACTGGGAATCTCCTCTCAGAGACAGGAGAACTTCATTTTTGTTTGGGATGTTTTAAATATGCTTAGAGGATAGAAAACATTTTATGGATGTTATAGCATTTTGTACTCCCCCAATTTATTCTTTGTCAAGAAAGGTATAGAATACAGAATAGATGCCACATGGATTTCTATTACCTGATATTTGCATCTGTCTGGTGTTGGGAGTTACCCTATATGTAAACACAAAATAATAATAAAAAAAAAATTTGCTTTGCAAAAAAAAAAAGACAAAATCACCCTATAAATTTAGGTTTGCTTCTCTCTAAAATAGGAAATGTGAAATATAACTTAACTTCATCTCTCTGAACAGAAGTCGGTGTGTGAAACACAATTGGAAGACAGAGGTCCATTAAAATTTATTTCAGTCTTATCTTCCCTCAGTGCTCCTGGTACCAGGATGCCAAGCTCTCTCATCTGACAACTGGAAGATCTATAAGTTGCTATGTCACCATAGTAATTTTGATATTGGCAATTTAAAAGCCCAGTGACGGAGAAAGGCCACCTGAAGTAACTCAGACACCTGCAAAAAGCCCTAAGCCAAACAGTGAACTGACTGACCCCCTTATTACTGTCCCCTTTTCTCCCACCCCATGGCCTTCACCTTTGTTGGCCATTCACGACCTCCCTTAGATAAGGTTCTGGCTGCTGACTTCATTCTCCCCCTGCCTCCCACCTAGCCCAGCCAAAGAAATGCCCCTACCTACTTCCCGTTCACCCAGAGTCATCATTTATCATGAAATCAATGTTTTTAAAAGGTAATGTGAATATATAAAAAGGTGAATTTGTTTGCTTTCTCAAAATGTATATTTTCACTTTTATATAGACCTCCTAAACACATCTATTGGTCATTGAGGTAAAACGGGTACGTACGTACCACTGAATTCACTAAGAGCTTTCAGATGCATCGTCCAATTTACTCTAATCTCCACAGCACCCCACCGCCCCCCAATCCAGATTTGTAGCATTTTACAGATGAAGAAACTGAGGCCCAAACAGACTAAGTTGCTTTTCCATGATCACTCAGAACTAAGAGACAGAGTCATTCCTGCCTCAACATCTGGAAGCCTGAGCACTTCCGTCTTCCTTGTGGACTACAAGCAGGTCCATCACCTGCTCAACTGAAAAAGAAGCAACACGCAGCCCTCACCCCAAGGTCTGACCCTTCGCAGACCAGTCCTTTAGATTTCTGATTCCAAATGCTTTGCTGTTGTTGTTGCTGCTGCTCATTTATTTCATTTCGTTTCCACAATCTCGGCATCCGTAGTTAAGAAAATATTTTAACCCTAAGAGACTTTTCATTGTGGACATCCTAGACACCTGTGGCCCCCCAGTGGAGGCGAGGCCTCTCCAAATAGCACTACACACTCAACAGACACCGCGGCCAGCTCTTGACTCCCTGCTCATATATAAGAAGCCAAAGTCAGTCAAAGAAGACGGAATGTCTCAGTCTTTGGTGCATGAATGGTCAACACTGGCACCCTTGGCTGACTTGGTCAGTAATTCAGAAAGATCAGTATAAATCACATGGACGCCACATTGAAATGAGTGCCACTGGGTCAGCCAATGAGTGGAAAGAGAAGCAGTCAGGGCCCTTCATAAAGCAGCCAGCACTGTCACCATGCACTGTCACCATGCACTGTCACCATGCTAGGGTTTGCTGAGCCGCCTCTGCCTTCCGCTACACATAGGGTTTATGTTGAGGGGAAAACTGGCTAGATCCACGTGTATTCACATCTGTGTGATAACGCACCGTCTTCTCACAGGAATCTCCTACAGTCTCATCTCAGATCTCACTGGCTCTGTAATCCTAATAACTCACTTCACCTATCTGGGCCGCAATTCCTACATCTGTAAAACAGGGGCATGAATTAGAATTCCCTCTTCTAATGTTGCACAAGGGACACTACACTGCATTCTCTTCTGGAAAGATATAACTTTGCACAAAGAGGCAGTAGGGTGTGCGCACTGGAGCTGCTCGGCCTGCATTTGAATCCTGGTTCTCCCACTTGCTAGCTGTGTGTCTCTGAGCAACTTACTTATCTTTTCTAAGACTCAGTTTTATTATTCATTATAAATAAAAGTAATAATTATTGAGAGGTCAAATGAAAGAATGCATATAAACTGATGAGCAGAGTGCCTGACATACAATAAGTGATCCAAAAAATGTTAGTTCACATGACATTTAAACATGATTCTTATCTTTGTGCCCCAAAAATGTGCATGTGCCTCAAAATGGAAATGATTCATTCTGTTTTTTAAGCTTCCTGGTTTCTGTGTCAACCTCGAAAAATTGTTCATAAGCTCAAGTTCAACTCCAGTTATAAAGTAAAAAAAAAAAAAAAATGTCTGATTAAAAACTCTCTGCCTCGTTGTGGAAAACCATTTGTTGTAATATTCACATTCAGCCAGCTGTGAGCTGGTCGACTGAGCACCCACTGTGTGTCAGGTACGTCTGAAAGAACATAAATGCTTGAATGGATCATTTAAGCAAAACCTATATAAAGAAATATACTCCTAATTTATTTTTTGACACTGTTATTTTACTTCATTGACCCTTAGACACAACCATTGAAATTACTACAGCAAGAGAGTGTGCATGTTTTATGTCATTCATTTGCTCAAAAAATATTTATGACCACATAGTCTGTGCATGACACTGTGCAAATCTGAGGAAGATGCAGATTATCCAATCCCCAACACCTGGGAGCCTGTAGTCTTGTAGAAAAGATGCTACATACAGGTATACGTATCAACCAAAGCAATATTCATGTGCCATTAAAAAATACAACATAAAGAAAAATGAAAAATTATTTCTAGCTGGAGACAGAGAAGAAATAGGGTGAACCCCTTGAAGAAGGGGGTATGTATACTGGTCCTTTAGTGGTGAGCAGGATTTCAATGATTAAGAGATAGGTTTTAGGGAAGAGAGTCCCTGAGGGCCTCCCAGGAATTAGGAATGACAGGCGTCAGCAAAGACTGGGAGAGTCAGATCCATGACATCCATCCATGAAACGTGGCAGAGTCCCATCTGCTTGGCATGTGAGATGCAGCGACAGTGAGCTCCGGGCTGGGAATGCTTTGCCTCTGTGGCGTTTAGACATCATTTAGTAAACAAGGGCAAAGCATGGAGGGTTTGAAGGGCAGGGGGGAAACGTGCAGAGGTGTTTTAGGAAGACCGACCTGGCACTAGGATCTATTTCTCCTTTCCCGAAGAAAAGCCCTACAACCTGTGGCCCTCAAAACAATTTGTTTATCCGTAGTGTCTCTAAAAAGTGCTACAGCCATCCCTAGTAGCATTTTAACTGTTTAGATAAAAGCATCAGGTGAAACCTGCAGACCTTATATCAGGGTGACATTGAAGGTGCAAGGCACATGTCACAAGATTAAATAAACTCACAGCAACCTATCCCCTGCAGAGTCCTGGCTTTAAATTCAGGTTGCATCATAAATGAATAGGGTTTGGTGGCCTCCCGCCTATCTCCTGGGAACATTTGTTTGATTTACAAAACTACGACACAATTTGACACACTCAGTCTAATTAGCATTCACTATTTGGGAGAATGCCCCAGACAGCTAGAATTCAAATGTACTGAAGCCAGACCTGAATTTTTCTCTGTCCTCCTCTCCCATTTTTTTTTTCTGCTCTCTCCTTTCCTCATCAGAGGAACATATAAGCTGGAGATTTGAGGGAGCAAATCTCAGATGTCCCGGGTGCCCTACGCACCAAATCAAGCAACAACATGCATGTTTCAGCCTTTTCTGTTCTCCTATGCGTGCAGAACAGAGGCTGTTCTTATACGGACTGCTCCCAGACCTCTTCACGCAACTGTTGATTACACAGTGTTGGTTTCACAGAAAGAGTTTTTCTGGAAGAAGTCCCGCTTCAGAGAGAGGAGCTTAGTATTTAGCACTGCTCCTGCTAACAATGATTAAAGTTATTACTGTTACTTAAATAAAGCAGGGCATAAATACACAGAAGACATTGGGGTAACTACCGCTCACAACATATGAAAACATCCCTCTTCTCAAGCACAGGGGTTTGCCTGTTCATTTTAAATCTGTTTAATTCCAATTTTACGGGGCCTTGTGACAATCATCCAAAAGTTAGCTGCCAAAACTGTGACTATATTTAGCTGTTTATCACACACCAACTCAAGGTGGTGCGTGCTGGTAGACACACAGAAAAGCAAAGAAAATTGGAGCTCATTAGCAAGGGAGGCCAGGAAAGGTTTAGGAAAATTCTGAACTGGGAAATATTTGTTAGAGAATTTTAGTTGTGTTACTTCTAAGGACAAAAAAAAAAAAATCTAAGTTTATAAACAGAAGCAGCATAAATAAGTTAATTTTAAAGTTAGACAATGAAGAGTGAGGATACATAAAAAACACAGACCTCAAACTCCAGGGCAAGTGAATGGAATCTTTGATTTCCTGATCCTCCGGTTTGCCATGGTTGACATGCTTCCTACGGCTCATGGCCCTGGAAATGCAAGAAAAGAAATTCATTTTCTATTTTTTTTTCTATCCAAAAGTTATATGTGTCATTATAGAATCATCACAAGTTTCAACTGGATGGGATCCAAAAAAATGTCATCTTCCTGTGAATGTGTAGCAATATAGCAATGCATAAATGGAATCATAACTGACCCGGAAAACAAGGAGGGCCTCTCCAAACCCCAGATCCAAATGGACACACCGCATTTGGTTTCTTCTCAGCAGTGACTAATTTTGATTAGATTTGAAGGCCCAATTTCAGCTTAGCCTAGAAGCTGCCTCCACTGCTTATTAGTGGTCTGTGCCCTCATTAACTATCATTGAAGAACACGGTGGAAAAACAGTCATTCAAGGGCATCTACTGAGCTCCACATTCAAAGCCACCACAGTTTATTTTATCCTTTGGTTTGGTGATGGCTTGGGAAGGGGAAGTCAATTTTCCTTCATGTCTTGGAATAGAATTGGAAACTAATTACATGTTGCTCTTAAAATCAGTTTAAAAAATAGTTTGAAACTTGCCCATAACGTCACATAACCATAGGTGACAACTGGCCCCTAACTGTACCTCAAAGTTTAGCCACTGGCGGTTCCTTTGTATTTTCCTTCTCGACATGCTTTCCCCTCCCCACACCCCAAACAAAACATGCTACTTTTGAATAAGATTTGTGGAAGGGCCTAAATGGAGAAGCATAGATGAGTAAACAGTGTCACCTAGTGGGCTAGAGGACACCAGGAAAAGAAGAAAACTAGTGAACGTGCACAAATGAGAATAGCAGCCAACTGGCAGCATTGGGCCACATTTTGCCTTCATTTTTGCCCTCTGTTATCACCCATGAGCAAAGAAGAAAGTTTCCTCAAGGAGACATGAATAAATAATCACAAACAAGCCCCACACCCCACAGCTTTCCCTCTCTAGTTCCCTAATAAAGATCTCACCTAAGTAAAAATAACATCTGTCATTAATTCCGCACTTACGGAGAGCCGAGAGTTTGCCGAGAGCTTTACCTGGGTCATCTCACTCACTCACCAAAGAGTCCAGTTACTGGCTAGGGAGCTTTGATGACGAGCTTAGATCATAGACTGTGACACAGCCCAGGCGGTAACGCCCACTCTGTGGTACCCCACACGCACAGCCCGAGGGCAACAATGAGATCTTGGAGGGACAAATGTATGTAATAACACGATAATCAGATACATAGGAAGCATTTACTGTGCCCCAGACTACTTAGGGAATACTATAGTGCCCTGACAGGGATCCTGCCCTCTACTAACTTGTCATTTAAAAGATAAATTTGTAGAGTACATTAGAGTCACCATCATTCCAAGCTATCTTCATGTCCCTACAATGTAATCAAGATCCTGATTTTAGAAATGAGGTTTTGTGATTCATCCAAGTTCACACAGGCAAGAAGTGGCAGCTGTGGTCTTCTTACATAATGAGGGAACCAGGGTGTGGCACACTCAGGGCGCTTAAACTCACTTAGGAAAGCTAAAAGTCAGTTGTTGATCTCTCCACCTCTTGCTGCCTCTTTCACCAGCGCAGCTGCTAGAGATCCCTGGTTTCATGACAAGGTGTGGAGGCCAAAGACGGCAGAGAGCTGACTCAGGGAGCAATTACCACAGGTTCAGGGTTCAGGGGTGGAACCTTCTTTCCCTCTACTAACTCCAAACCATCCCAGCCCTGACAGGAATGGCAGAAATCAAATCTCTTGATAGATCAGATTAAAACAGACAATTTACATTTTATGGATCTGAAAGAATGAGAACTATAAGGGAATTTTCTTAATTTAAAAAGGGGTGCCGGGCGCAGTGGCTCACACCTATAATCCCAGCACTTTGGGAGACAGAGGTGGGTGGATCACCTGAGGTCAGGAGTTCAAGACCACCCTATCTAATATGGTGAAACCACTTCTCTACTAAAAATACAAAAATTAGTGGCACATGCCTGTAATCCCAGCTATTCAGGAGGCTGAGGCAGGAGGATTGCTTGAACCTGGGAGGCAGAGGTTGCAGTGAGCCGAGATCGTGCCACTGCACTCCAGCCTGGGTGACAGAGCAAGACTCCATCTCAAAAAAAAGCAGGCGGGGGGTGGCATACATGAGAAACTTACAGCAAACATACCTAATAGTAAGAGAGCATGCTTTCCCCTAAGATCAGTAACAAGACAAAGATAGTCTCTTCCGCCACCCTACTCAAGGCTCTAGCTAGTTCAGTAAGATAAGAAAAAGAAATAAAATGTATACACATTAAAAAGAGACAAGTAAAACTGTCTTTACTCACAGATGACATGATTATTAAAGTAGAAAACTCCAAAGAATCTTTAAAAAAAAATTCTTGGAACTACTTACTAAGCAAGTTTAGCAAGGTCGCAGGATGTAAGGTCAATATACAAAACTCATTGCTTTCCTACATAGCAGCGATAAAAAACTAGAATCTGAAATTAAGGAAAAATACCATTTACAATACCACCCAAAGAAAAGAAGAAAAGTAATTGAGCATATATCTAACAAAATACAAAGAGGATCTGCATGTAAAAATTTTCTTCAGTAGGGAGAAAATAATTCCTTCTATTATATAAAAATAGGTTAACAGAACAAGGAACCATGTGTTATCTTTGTACAGACTGGGAAATTCCTCCAGAGGCCAGACTCAAGATTTCCAAATCCTGGGGTTAGTAGCCCACCTGGGGCCATCTGGGTGCCTTCTCTCTTCTGTGGTCTTCTTACACAGTGAGGGAACCAGGGTGTGGCATACTCAGGGTGCTTTATCTCACTTGGGAAAGCTAAGAAGAGAACCAAGAAGGGAGGAAAAAAACAGGGTTTTTTCATTAAAAGCCTTAATATGATGAGATGACAAAAGAAGAAGCAAGAACAGCCTTTCCCCGGCTCCAAGGACCTAATGTTCTTCCACTCTTCCTGCAGTTATGATCCCAGCCTTTGAGGATCCTTTTCAATTACAGAGATCATTTTAGCTTACTGAATGAAGCTGAGAGACGAAGCTAAACTTTTCGTACTTAATTAATGAGACTCGTATGATGCTTACTCTGTGTTATCCTGGGCCAGGCACTGTACACTGATGTACTTTACACCTATTAGCTAATTTAATCTCAACAGCTCTATGAAGGAGGCGCTATTGTTCGTCCCATCCTAATAGCTAAATAAATTAATAGCTAATAAATTTTTTAACATTGCAAATTTTCTTTTAGAAGTTTTACTTTGGACTTGCTTATATGGCCTACAACTCATCATATATGTCAACTTATACCATATGTGTCTTATCATATATGTCTCATAATAGTCTGACTGCTTCCACGTTTCAAGAAGCTACTGTTTGTAAAAAGCAAGGCGTACGGGAGCGGTAGGGTCCTGGTGCGGAGGTCAGGAGCACCCCTGCGATCCCAGTGGTGAGCTGTTCAGTGTTCAACAACCAGTTCTTCATTTCAAGAAAAGGAGGGAGGGGAGGAGGAAAAAAAAAACAGCATTTCTGTGTGTAAATACTCTCACCATTGCCAATTTTGAAGCTCACAAAGTTCCTGGAAATTTTTAAATGGGCTTTCAACCAGCCAGTGGGGGCCTGTTCTAGCACACCTGCAAAGCTCCGTGAGGACAGAGTCCATGGCTGTTTTCTTCAAGCTCACACCTAGGCTAGTGCCTCGCAGGTAGCAGGCAGTTAAGACATATTTACTGAATGACTGAATGAGTGAATTAATGAGATGCAATCAATTAAATCAAGCAGGAGCAAGTGCACTGTCTTCCTCTGGCTGGACTACAATCAGAACCTAGCTGCTTCAATGACATCACGGTCTTGATTTATCATGACGGTTGTGATTTGTGCTACAATTCTGTGGAGAAAAGGAACGTTATCTCAACATTGGGCTTTGTTAATCATAATAGAAGTGCTAAGGGAGATAAGACTTTTGAATACGTGTTTTCAAAAGCAGGCAAAAAGAGACATTAGCTTTGTTTTTGTCTGATTTGATCAAAGAGTATACTTATAATTTTCAAATGTTATTATTTAAGCTCCTATTTTAAAAAAAAATTCTGTTATAGGTATCTGAGACTCTAGCCTCTAACCCCTTGAAACAATAATTGAGACAATTATTTTGATAACCAAACATTCTTTTGGTTATCAAAAGCATTTTGGTCATCAAAATATTGTTTCATTGGAGCTGAACAGACACGGGACTAGCTCTCTACTGCCCCCACTTTTCCCTGCTCCTGGAAGTGAATTTCTTGTGGCACACATTGGACAAAATGTTAGAAGGGAATTCGTTTTCACACATTTGTAATAAGTAAATTTATTTCCATCTAACACAAGTTGTGTGCTCAAATTTCAGAACCTGTAAGAGATGAGTGCAGACATTGTAGGAAACACCATTAAGCTTTTTGTTGTCGTTTGTGAGCCACCAAGTGGGGCTATTTATTTATCTATCTATCTACCTATCGATATCGATTTATTTCGAAGCACACTTCCATTTATTTATTTATTTATTTTTATTTACTGACATACTTGCTCATGGAGAGGCAGGTCGCATTTTATTTATTTATTTATTTACATGTTTGGAGGCAGGCTTGGATTTATGTATTTCTCTATCTAGCTATCTAATTATTTAGAGAAGGGCTCACGTTTACTCATTTATTTATTTAGACCGAGGCTCCCAACATTTATTTATATACTTATGTATTTGTGTGCAAGTTTGCATTTATTTATTTACTTATCTATCTGTATATGATTTAGAGGCAGGCCTGCATTTATTTACTCAGATGCAGGCTCGCATTTATTTATTTATTTGTTTATTGATTGATTGATGTGTTTTAGATAGAGTCTTGCTCTGTCACCGGGCTGGAGTGCAGTGGCACAATCCTGGCTCACTGCAATCTCCACCTCCTTGGTTCAAGCAATTCTTCTGTCTGAGCCTCCTGAGTAGCTGGGACCACAGGTGCGTGCCACCACACCTGGCAATATTTTTGTATTTTTAGTAGAGACAGGGTTTCACCATGTTGACCAGGATGGTCTCGATCACTTGACCTCGTGATCCGCCTGTCTCAGCCTCCCAAAGTGCTACCACTAAGCTTTTAAATAGCAAATGAACAAAAGTAGCAGACCCCTGATATAGCCTAAATTGAGATTCAACTGAAACTGAAGTATCTAAGCAAATGGACTGGTGGCTCCCAACCTAGGGTTGCCAGATAAAATACAGTTAAACTTGAATTTCAAGTAAACAGTGAATAATTATTTAGCATAAATACTTCCCAAGCACAGCTCCCAATATGGCATTGGACATACTTGTACTAAAAATGTATTTGCTGTTTATCTGAAGTAAACATATGTATTTTAATTTGTGAAATCTAGCGACCCTATCTAAACAACATATTTGCTT